CCGTGTGGATGTGAAGGGCACAACTCACAGAAACGCGTGCTACACACTGGCCCTTTAACAAAAGACCAAATCAGGAAGCATCTCTTCATTAAAAAAATGTCTCTTTGGTCACTTCGGACTCTTTGTAAACACTAAACTGAAATAGAATAAATTTTATATCTACGAAATAATCAAAATGTCATAATAATAGCTATTGCTAAATGACAGTTTCTCAGTCAGTCAATGCTTTATGCGGTTTTATAGAGTCTATGTTCTGGTTTGACTGACCCTGCATATACAGTGTGTGTGTGTGTGTGTGTGTGTGTGTGTGTCTGTGTGCGTTTATGTGTTCTGAGTCCGTCTCTCAGTCCTCTCAGCTGTTGTTGTTCTTGTTCATGAGCTTGGCTAACATCTGCTGCAGCTGCGTCCTCGACACGTTGAGGACCGAGTGTCTGCTCCGCGGGCTGCCGGGCGCCGGCAGCGTGCCGGCGTGCCGCCGCCGCACCGAGGCGTTGGCGGCAGTGATGTGGGCGGGGCTGCTCTCGGCCGAGCGGCTCCTCTGGATGAAGCTGCCACCTCCGTGCGGGTACTGCTCCGTCTCCAGGGTGGAGGAGGAGAAGACGTAGGAGGCCAGCCTCCGCAGCTGATTGGGCCGCGGTTGGTGTCGGTCGTCTTCCAACTGCGAAACAGACCAATCAGAGAGAGGGAGGCCGGTCAGCAAGCGAAATGCTCCCATGAAATATAATGTATTTGAATGTTAAATGTTTGTTTCCTACGGCTACGTCCCAACACTCTGATTTGACTCCCTTCCCTCGTCTCCTCCCCCACCTGACCAGACGTTAGACGGGAGAGAGCTGATTGGTGCTCTCGCGCATCTAAAGCCTTCAGCTGATTGGTCGAAGGCTGCGAGGGGGCGGAGCCTCGGGAGAGGAAGCCTCGGGAGCGTTGGTGTGAATCTGTCTACGCTTACAGCTATCAGACACTTGGCACAGGCTACGAAAAGGTTAGCGGGACAGTTGAGCCAATAGACTTTTGGGTTGCCAGATTGGTCAGACTAGCATCCCTCTAGCTGGACAAATGGTGATGAAAATACCCCCCCCCCCCACAACAAAAACAAAAAAGGCAGTTTAAGAAGGACACACCAGCACGAACACTCCACATACTGCGGCTCGCTAGTCTACGACAGTCTGAGCCGGGACAAGTGACACTTTCAGCTTTTTGACTTCTGGAGGAAAAAACAAAATCACCATTGGAGATGCAAAAAAAAACAAAAAAAAACAAATCGGGGAACACAAAAGAGAGATGGAGTCATCAAGCACACAAAACACAGACACACGACGGAGGGGAAAAGAAGGGAGGAAGTATGTCTGAACAGAAGGGGGAGGAAGAGGAGGAACAGAAACTGAGTGAGAGAACAGAGGTAAAGGACTATTCCTAAACTGTGCTTACCCCGAAACATCACTTTATTTCTTCTCCTGTTGTCCCAATGGCACCCTCGCGCTTTTCTCTGTCTCCTCGGGTGAGTCAAACTCGAAATACTGTGTACTTTTAAGGCGATAGGTCGGGTGGGGGGGGACTGGAGAAGAGTAAAAAAAAAAAAGGAGCGTGGAGTCCTGGATGGCCAGCGGCGGCGAGCTCGCTCTGAGTCTAGCGGCGGAAATAAAGAGAGGCGGCTAAAGGAATGGAGGTGATGTCATAACGTCCAGCCTGTAAACAGCAGCCAGGTACGGAGGACCAGACGGGGCTTATTAGTGAGTAAATGAGTGCGTGAGTAACTCGAACGGTCACACACACACACACAGAAATGGGTAAAGAAGTAAAAGGAAAATGTGTTAATTAATTACCCTCAAAAGGAGGAAAAAAAACTCCCCCCTGCAGGAAAATTATAAACAAAAAGTCCTCAAGTGAGATTAAAATGAAAAATAAATGCAGAATTCAACGATTCCGCAATTATTTTTGATGCAACCAGACGTTCACAAGAAATACACAAACACACACGCACACACAAATAAAATAAAAACACCGTAATGAAATGTTCCTTCTCCTCCTTTACATTTGATTATTCATTTTAAACACTGTTACTTCAAGATGGTTCTGGCAGCACTTTTTTATTGTTAGTGTTGTGATTAAATTATAGCGTCTTAAGATAAAGTTCTCAGTGATGCTGTTTCCTTCATCGTAGAGCTCCCCTTATTTATTATTTAATCCTCATACATGTTTGAAGATTGTACGTATCGGTTCAATCGTTATTTGGTTCAGAATTCATCCATAAAGATACATTTTGATTTATATCGTACAAGCCTTTTCACAAGTATTTATTACATTTTTCTCTAATTTACAGACGCCCTGGAAGATCATTTCTTTTTTATGATGCGCGGAAGGTTTATTAAAAATAAAAATTGTGACATCTGGGCCCACTGTATGAATTATATATATAAATTCTTAAAAGGTCTTTTTAATGAAGTATGACGATGTCTTTTTTGTGTTTAGTCTCTCACGACACCAAACATTCACATCATGGGCCACGTTCGCCTCTGAGAAACCACACGACACGTTGACCTGTAAACCGGCGCGTGAATCACCAAACACGCGTCTAAATGTTCCCCGATGTCACTGATCTGAATCACAACTCACAACTAATGTTGTGAACATTAACAGAAAGCTACTCATCAATGAACCTGTATTTAATCCTGTGAAAATGAATCACACACTTAACTGTGATTATTCAACACTTCAGCAGTTCATCTCTCCGACTATCACGTAAAAAGTGAGAGAAAATAAGTCTCACGCAAACAATGAGATGTTACACTAGAAACAGTCCCTCCTCCACAAACCTCCTGTTTGTCACGAATCTCGTTCATCACCTGCGATGCGGTTGAAGTTAGAGGAAGATTAGAACTACTGAGGAGTTATGATTACTGTCGCGAACAGTAAATGAATGACAAACGAGCTACACTACACGTCATCGCACAACCCTGAACGTCCACCAACCCTGTGTGTGTGTGTGTGTGTGTGTGTGTGTGTGTGTGTGTGTGTGTGTGTGTGTGTTGGGCTTCCTTCGGGGACACATTTCAGACCAAAGAGCAGTTTCGTTGGTGACAACTTGTTCAATTAAGGACAAAAGCTGCGTGTTGCGTGTTGCTTGAGGTTACGTCTGGGTGAATGTCCCTGAAGGTGTCCCTGAAGGTGTCCCTGAAGGTGTCCCTGAAGGTGTCCCTGGTGCGTTAATGGTGAATCCAGGTGGTGCATCGCTCCACATCACACAGCATCACAGCAGGAGGCGAGAAAGAGCGTCGACATCGAACACAGGAAGTGCTGCTTCTCATTCACTCCTTCAGAATAAAACAATCACTCCAAAGCAAAAGTCATGAGCGAACGCAAAGAGATGGAAAATATTGAAGCCGCACGATGACGGGAGGAAAACGCAGCCGGGCGGTGAGAACTGTGTTTGTGTCACAGGCAGTCAAGGAAGAATCAGACCAAGTAACCCCAACGGACCAGAGCCGAGCTCACTAAAGGACAGAAGACGCGATGCACCGTCTCCTCAGTCTGATGAAGACAAAACTAGAAAACGCAGCCGGACTCACAGGAATAACGAGCTACATCTTGGTGAATTCCTCTCCTCCGGGCGTCAGATGATCAGATCAATAGCACTCCCTTGTTTGCACAGTGAATATGAAGCTACAGCCAGCAGCTGGTTAGCTTAGCTTAGCATAAAGACTGGAAACAGCTGGTCTAGCTCCGCCCAATGGTGACATCACCCACGAAGCTCATTGGTTAACATGCTATATATGTTTGTTGTTACACGTAACAAACAGCATGTAATGCACCTTTGAGTAAATAACTGAGCTTAGCATTATGCTGAGCTAATCCATTGGCAGTGAGTGCTGTTGATCTTCTCATTCACCTCCTAGCAGGAAAGTGAATAAATGTTCTCAGCAAGACTCCAGCCAGCATCTTAGACGGTGCCGGTTTTCCTCTCTGAAAATAAATGCATTTTCTTTCCAAGCATCTAAAACTGTGTTGCTTTTCTGTCCATACTTTAAGAAAAACAAGGATCTATTACAGCAAAAACGTCAACACAAGATTCAGCAACCACAGCTCCCACGAGGCTTCGACAGCAGGCCGACAGACTCGTGTTTCTGAATGCAAACACAAACGATGACATCGTCGTGTTCACACGTGGCGCAAACTCTCTTTTCCTTCATGTCAATAGTGGTTTTAGTTTGGATATTCTCGCGTCGACGTATCGCAGAACAACATCTGAGGCTCAGCGATGCCTCATCCCACCGTCATCGAGCGGTCGGCTCAAATGAAGAATAGTGTGGAATAACAAAAGTATGACATCATGGCTGCTGCAGAGAGGCTGTTCTCTCACACGGCGGCTCCGTATCTGAAACACAACGATGTGGGACAAGCGACGGCCTCCACGTCCTCAGTCAACCAACGTGGAGGTTTCCTGCTGTGCAGCGTCACGCACTTTGAGTACCACATGCAGGATGTCATCACCATCTCTCCCTGCTGGAGGTCAGCAAACACTGAGTCTACCAGAGCGCAGGACGACTGCACGTGACAGACGTCATCACTGGGACACCTTTAGAGGACAAATCCAGCATGGGTCCACGGGCTTTTGTGGTCATTAGAAAGAAAGAGCTCATGGGCTTTGACAGATAAACGAAGGGTGGATTCTTGTTTACTTATTCTCTGATCATCATATTTCTTGATGAATTTGTAGGTTTTGTATCATATTTAACTATTTTTGGGGAAAATGAAGCACTGATGTATAAAAAGGGGTTTATTTAAAAACCCAATAGGGGGAAACAGGAAATGAGCCGGACCTCCTTTCACGACGGATTTGTCCTCAAAGCTGCGTGTTGACCGTCAGATGAGCGAGGGCGGAGCGGCGGCTGCGGAGCGCCTCCCCGCGTGACGGCGTCTCCACAGCGGCTCTCCTCGGCTTCATCTGTCCGCCAACACCGGAGAGCTCAGCTCTCCTCTGATTGGCTGGCTGGGTCTCTTACCGGTCTTTGAGGTCCGATGGGCTCCGACTCTCTCCGGCGGGGGCGTCCCGACGGCAGCGAGTGGCAGGGCGACTGGGCGGGGCTCCCGGCGCTCCTTCTCGACGCCTCCTCCTCCGTTAACGTCAGCATCCCCCGGCTGCTGTCCCTGTTGTGGGTCTTCGGACGGACCACCAGCTCCCCTCCTGCAGCCACGCAAAATATCAACGGGAGTTACAAGGGTCTCTTGTCCAGGAGGTGTTTAGCCTAGCTTAGCACAAAGACTGGATTCCAAGGGAAACTGTTAGCCTAGCTCGGTCAGTCCAAACTCTATTGTCTAAACTACCGCAGTGCATGAAGGATAAATTAGAAGCCCGTTAAACTAACATGTTGCTAAGGGAGGAGGTGAGATGGCACTCATACAAAAGCTCCTACCTGCTGCCCTGAGCCTCCTCCTCTCCTCCTGCTCCTCCAGGGGGCGGAGCTCCTCGGGCTCCTCGTCAGTGGTTCCCGACGTGGTGGGTTGGAAGTCCCGCAGCTCCGTCTCTTTGTCGATGATCACCCACTCCTTGCTGTCAAAGTCCTCCTCCTCGGCCAGCGGGACGGAGCGGATGAAGGCGTTGCTGTGCGCCTCCTGGTCCACCGACGCCACCGACGCTTCCTGCCGGCCGCTGGCCTGCCGGTCGCCGCGGCAACCGGGGTCGACGGACAGCATCTGAGCCGGCTGAGAGGAGTAGACGTGACGGGAAGGAGAGCCGAGCATGTCCATCCTGGACCTGGCGGAACGTAAAGACAGACACGAAGACACCAGGGAATGAGACGTCGACTCATTTAAGAGTTTTAACTTTGACGTCAAAGTTCATTCAGTCCAGATAAGTCTGAGTCTGACTATGAGTTATCGTCCAAAGTCAGTCACAGGACCAGTTTCACCTCTGTCCGTAGGCGTCGGCCCGGCCCTCAGCAGCGGACAGGCGGTCGGATTCCGGGCTGTTGACCCGGCGGTACCGCAAGGACCGGCCCGGACCCGTCGGTGACTCCGGGACTCCGCCTCGTACCGGCGACACGGGACACGCCCCCCGACTCGCCTCCTCCTCCTGAGCACCCTGCGGAGGGACAAGTGATCACAACACAAGCACTCGAGTCGACATATCTGGTCTACGGCTTTACGGCGATCCGTCCAGATGTTCTCCAGCGGTTTCGCACCTTGTTCAGGCTGATCCTGAGTCTGTTGCGGTTGAAGTCCGTGTCCTCCCAGGCTTCCCCGGGCTCCCCCGCGTTGGAGACGCCCGTCTCCCCGGGGGGGCGGCTGGGCGGGACCGGCGGGGCGTTCTCCTGGTCGCTGAGATGTTCGTCCTGCAGAACGTCGTCGGTGTTCTCTCGCTGGAGATCTCCGGGAACCGGCGTCACGATGGCTCTGAGGAACCGGGAGGAAAAGAGATCGCGTGAGTTAAAAACGCATCGTCCTTCTTCTTGCCCGTTTTTAGAATCCACAGATTTAGACGCCCCACCACCTACGGGGGCTTTGGCTGCAGTTCACGTTACATTTGTGATTCATGTGTTCCTCGTGTGTTCGACTTGTGATCTTTCCTTCTAAGTGAGGCTATCGTACAAAAAAAGGGCGCGGCGCTTACCCCACCATGGCGGCGGTGGGTCGGGTGTTGTGCTGTGGTTGGGTGGAGGTACTGGTGGACAGCGTGACATCGCCCCCGCCCTTCTCCCAATCGAAAGGCTCGTTCTCGGTGATTATTCGCTCCTTCATGCTGTTCTCAAACACCGACATCAGCAGCTGGAGAAACGACACGATGAATCTGAGGTAATCTGAGGTAATCTGGAGTAATCTGGAGGGAGGATCCTCAGTGTGTACCTGGTAGTCTGGTTTGGTGTAGTAGTCCAGAGCCAGAACGTGGTCCAGGAAGATGTTAAACTCCGAAGGCATGTGTTTCAGCAGCATCCGATGGTCGTATCGCTCTTTAATCTGACCGACTTGTTCCTAAAGGAAAATTACAACAAATAATACTGAATAAGGATTCACATAAAATGTTGTATTTATACATTTAAAATGTAAAAAACTGGTGAAAAAACTGGTGCAACTTTGTTGCAGATTGTTTCCATCTAATAATATGCTACATTGGGTGCAGTGTTTTTCGACAACATGAAGGTTACGGGATAATAACGAGTTGTCCAGGTGCTTGTTAGTGAATAATCAAAGTATTTATAGCGGGTAGTTCATGTACACGGAGGTACTTCTGGTAACAGTGTGTTAGTGGTCCGACCTTGTCTTTGATTTTTCGCCACGGCAACTGTCCAACGGCGAACTCCACCAACATGTAAAACAATGACCAGAGGTCGTCATGGCGACCCATTTCCTGGAGGAACGCGACAGACACACACTGTTAGGGTGATGTTGTCATATTGTAACATAGTTCTATTTACGACATCGCTGCTGGCGTTACGCGTACATAAACGTTGAAGGGCTTCAGTGGAATATTTATATTATCACCGATGCATTCGCTACTGAAATGAAAGGAGGACCTCTGACCTTGTTTTTGTGAGCGTTGACGGAGGCGTAGCGGACCGTCCCTCTGAAACCCGCCACCGTCCTCGGCTGAACACAAGACACCGAAGATCAGAGCTCAGTACTGAACACTAAATCACACGGTGCTGCTCCAACAAATACAAACATAATAAAAAAGGGAAGTTTCGTCTACTTTACATTTCTAATTTGCGGGCTGTGATCAATGTAACAAATGTTTATATCATTTTATAAATACATTGATAAATACATTTAATTTATAAAAACTAATTAAATGTGTGCTCGGAAATCTGAACTAACAAAAATTAAAGAACACAAACTAATAATAATTCATCTATTGGATTCATTGTTTCAGATGTCGAACAAAATTGAATTAAAACCAAACAAACAAAAAGCAACCCAACAGAAACATAAGCATCGGGTCACACGGCCTCCACGCAGCCTCCGGGGAACAGGTGGGGGCGGTCGGGATGTTGCCATGGTGATGTGTGTCATTTTTGTGTGGTGAGCTGGATGTGATGACATGCTCGGGTTCCCATGACAGCGGGACAGACGTCATGACTTGATGGTGGATGTATGGATTTACTGTGAGGAGAGAGACGGTCCTCAGGCTGCTTTAAGAAATGTCAAGACGAATGATGTCGACGAGTTTTGTTCAGAGGTTTGAATCTAAAAACCTTCCAAGAAAGAAACTGCTCCACAGCTCCACTGTAGGAACAAATAAATTACATAAAGTGAATAGTTTGAAAAAGTTAATTTATAGTAATCGTACATATATGAGTATCAATCATATCTGGAGCCTCGACTGCGTCCACTGCAAAGTGAAATCAGTTCAGCCTGTTGACACAATCACTCTGACCATCAAACACAACATCGGCCCGGTTGAGCAACAGATGTGTTCTTTAGTAGAATTCACAAAAAACAAGATTTATTAGAATTGATTTCACCAATTTTCTCTGAGGTTCAAGCTAACTTTTTTGAGTCATTAACCATCGTACCTCAGTTTAGATATGATGCAACAGTGAATTTAAAATATAAAATAAATAACTAACATAAATATATAACTAATATTCCGTTAATATTGTCGTCATTGTCTAACTTAGGGAATAAATACACTAGTTGAGAGTTGGAACTGTTGTGTGAATAACTGACAAAGCTTACATCAATGTAACGTTAGCATGCTAACATTAATGTAACGTTAGTCTAACGTTAGCATGCTAACATTAATGTAACGTTAGTCTAACGTTAGCATGCTAACATTAATGTAACGTTAGTCTAACGTTAGCATGCTAACATTAATGTAACGTTAGTCTAACGTTAGCATGCTAACATTAATGTAACGTTAGCCAATTCATCAGAACATCTGACCTGAGTATAAACATATGATCCGATATTTTAAACGCGTCTGAAACACCCACTATACGTTTTAAAGTTATGATAAAGCTCCTGACGCTGCAGTGACACGTTCACGTTGAGGATCGCTTTTCATTGGACTACAGGTGTTTCCTACAGCAACGATTCACACATTTACTAAGATCTCTATTAGTGACAGACATTCCTGGTTTGCGTGTTAGTACCACAAACTAAAATGAAGAAGTGACAACGTGTGTGGATAATGTTGTGGGTTTGGATCTATTATTAGCAGCACTTTAGTCTCTGATGGTGACTAACATGTTTTTTCTCGGTTTTACTTTCTGGTTATACTTCGGCGTTCTGCTGGTGATGTGCCGTGACTCTCCTCTGTTGCTATAGAAACCACTCACATCCCAGGGTAACCATGGAGATGATGGAGAAACGGGAGGCATGCACGTCAAAATCATAAGTCCAAAGGAACTGTAAGAAAAACAAAAACAACACTGAAACGTAATAAAATGGAAATAAAACACAGGACATAAATCATTGATAACAGAAGTGATGATTGGTGATCAATACAGACTGAACATCGCACAACTGATGTCGTAGTAAAAGCTTTTTATGAAAGCACACAATGCAGTCAGAACATTCTAGAAGTCAAAACTCCTCTATGTAAAGTATATCAAATGAAATCAAGACACACAGTTAATCTGAAAGAGGGTTTTGTTTGGAGATTTTAGTTGTAATGTTTTTAAAAGGTAAAAAGATCATTTTCAAAGCGGAGCGATCCATGAAAAAGAGGCAGAGAATTGTATGAACAAAAGCATGTGGAGAAAACTCAGGAGAAAAACCAACAAAAAGGAAAGACAGTAAATAACGGAGATCAACACGCTGAGATCAGAGAGAGAGAGCTGATCCCAGAGCAGCTGGACACACACACACACACACACAACACACACAACCCACACACACACACACACACACACACACACACACACACACACACCACGCGACAGAAAGCCTGCTCTGTCGTCGATGGAGTCCTGAGCGGCGCAGTGAAGGAGTGACAGTGAGCGTTCAGACTCAAACCAACGCGCTGAGGGAGCACAGCTCACTCGATTCATCTAGAGATGCATTCAGCTCTGTCTGAGGTAAACCTCCGTCTGGTCTCACTGCGTTCCTCTGTCGCTGAGCAGGTTCCTGCCGAGAGGCCTTTTACAGACTCTTCCTGTGGAGACGACGCAGCGCTGCGAGCCGCAGACAGGAAGTCAGACAGACGCACCCGCCGCTTGTTTCGGCCTTCAGGTTTGTCGATTGATAAAAGAAATGATAAATAGCACCGTGCGCCTCAATGAAATAAATTCGACTGCAGCCGCTGCCTCCCTTCCACTGACACGTGACTGCTGTTTATATTACTACGGTCATGTGACGTCAGCAAGAGACAGACAGACAGACAGAGAGAGAGAGAGAGAGGTGGTGCTGCCAAAACATGAAGGAGGGATGAAGTAGATGGAGAGGAAGCAGGATGAAGAGCGGGGGGAGGGGTAGAACCAGAGAAAGAGAGGAAGGGAGGGACGGTCCTCTCAGATCAGTGAACGGAAGCTGACTCAGCTGTAGAGAGACGAGGGGGGAGGGAGGGAGAGAGAGAGAGAGACGCAGGTCACTCGCCCACTGACGCACGCAGGACCATCAAATATTCATCTCACTGCTGCAACACAACGCCGCAGGAAGAGGAGGGGGAGGAAGAGGAGGAAGAGGAGGAGCACAGGAGGGAGAACCAAGTGAGGAGGAGAGGAGAAGTAACGGGAAGAAGAAACAAGATAGGCGGTGATGAAGAGGAGGAGGGGGAGAAAGGAAAGAGGTAAGATGGAAACAAAAGAGGGGAGAAGGACACGGGAAAAGAAGTGAGGAGGAGGAGGAGGAACGATGAAGAAGCTCAAAGACGTTCTAAGAATATCTCAGACTTCAGAAGTCTGATAGACAGACGTCATGAAGAAAGAAGAGAAGAAGAAGATAAATACAGTAAAACTACAAAAACAACAAGACTGACAACCAATCAAAATCTTGAATTGTATTTTAGAGTTTTCACAATAAAAGCCTTTTCCATTCAAGCCTTCACATGGACAATATTATCTTGATCAATAACGTCTAATAAATAACAGAGAAACTCTCTTCCTCTGCTGAGCTGATGTGCTGCAATGCAGCAAACCCACCATGCTGCTTTTCATAAATCACTTCGCTTCATACAGCGGCTCAGGGGAAAGCGAAGCATAAAACACAAAAGGCCTCTCACCGGTCGGACCTCTCCGGTGGTGTTGGTGTACTGACGCGCCAGACCGAAGTCCAGCATGTAGCACTTCCTGTAGGTGGAGGGAAGCCGGCCCATCGCAAAGTTCGACTGCGGAAACGAGAGCAAAACCAAAATACATCTTCGTGAAGAGAAACTCCACGGCTTGTTTTTGGAGGTCATGTATCATTTTTATCTTTTCCAGGATCCCCATGCGCTTGTGTGTGTGTGTGTGTGTGTGTGTGTGTGTGTGTGTGTGCTTCTCTGTGTCTGTCCGGCTCAGCGACAATTCTGCCGCAGCAAACTGGGATAATTTCTTTGGCTTCGGTTTACTCACAGCTTCTCTCAACGCTTCCGAAAGCCGGTTTTATTCTGCCAACTCTCCGCTCGCCACCCTCACACAGCCGAGTGCGAACAGTGTGTTGAAAACTGTCACATTTGTGGGAGGTTTTCTAGCTTCATTTTGTTCCCAATTGGGTTTGAATTAAAGTGTGTTCCGACGCTCAGCGAGGTGAACGTACTGTGACCGGAGTCTTTGAGTCGTTGCGGTGAACGCCGACAGACAGCCAGATGTTGTGATGAGTTATTTGGTTTGTGTTTCGTGGCCAAGGGGCTTTCCTTTCTCCTTTCTCCTTTCCTCCCTTCCTTCCTTTCTCTATTCTCAACAATATTCAATTCATTTAAGTTTAATGAAATTAAACACAGGAGTCAAAGTAGAATTCCCGTTAAAAATATACTATAATATAGTATAGCATTATAAGCGCTAGTAAGCGCTAATCAGCATTATAAGCGTTAATAAGCATTACTACGCAGATATATACAGCCGGCTCTTCTTCCTCACTGTGACCTTCCTCTTCCACCTCCCCATCACGGTTTGTCCTCCAGCTTTTGTTTGCAGCTCTGCTTATTAATATGTAAATGCATTCGGCTTTTTTCGTTCACAACTGAGCTTCTAAACTCTAAAGATTGACATCAAATCAGATGACACATGTTTTAACATATTATATAATATAGAAGTAGTTGCCATTTAAGTGAGAATACTGAACACAAAGTTGGATTGTGAACATTTTCCTTCATATCTGAGGCAAAATGATTCATTTACGACCAATTTCATAAACTTGATAAAATACATTTTCTGCTCTCCTAATTTTTCTGATAAATCACACTGTCTTGATTTTTTAAAATTAAGTTAATAAAGCATTAATCTGAATACAAAAACTGTAACGGTAATATTTGTGTTTCAGGTCGTCACCCCAACGATGATTTAATCTGTAACAACTCTGCCTCTTATATTGAAATCCCTTCACCTTTATTTCTACACGTGCAGCTCCTGACCTTTTTCATAGTAAATAACACAGTTAAAGCTCATTCAACTCCCTCGCTGACGTGACAGAAGAGAAGCGGGAGGTTTCCGTCGTACCGGTTTGATGTCTCGGTGCAGGAAGCCCACCGAGTGGATGGCTTCGATGGACTCCAGGATCTGCTTCCCGAGGCGCAAAGTCGTGCTCATGGTGAAGGTCCCTCTGGGCTGACTCCTCCTCAGGTCGGCCAGGTTACGCCCCTGCAACGACATGGACGCGGTCGCTTAGCAACAATGCACCTACAGTGCAATCATTTGTTGTCATTTGCAATGCAGGGTTACAACAATACGCCTTTTATTGACACAGATTACACCATTCAAATCTCTTCATAACTGAAGTCTGTATTCATATCCTTCACAATAAAAGCCTAACAGGCCCATGTACCCTTTCGTTGTGTATTCGGACTCACCTGAAGCTGCATGACTACGTAGTTGAATTTGTCGTTTCTTCCGCAGCCAATAAACTTACAGACGTGGTTTTTACCTGCAAGGGAAAAAAACAGAAAGTAAATAAACACAACTGTAAAATATCCTCTATTCTGGCAACTTAACGTTTCAGAATGAACCTCCTACTAAACTGGTTCAATCAAGAAGCTCCATAGCAAACTACCCAGCATGCACTAGGTTTGGATTAAATATCTGTTTCTTGTTACATGAATCATAGAGTCTTGATCTTACTGAATTACTGTCAGTTACAAACGATGAGGTCGTGAATTCAGTGAGATTTAAGTGAGCGACACGTGTGTTCACGTGTGCAGAGCCGGTACAGAGACGAAACACACAAACAATGTGTAAATATACGTCCCTGCAAAGGTTCAGTGTTGGGGAGTAAATGTGCAGTGTTTAAATCAAATTTGAAGGCATTGTACTTTGTCAGGTATACCTTTTACATCTCAAGTAGTACATTACATAACTTACTGTGCAAATTCAGATCAATAACACAAAACATATATATATATATATGTATGTATATATTACTCTCAACTGGAGCACTCCAACTACTGTTGGTAGTTTCGGTATATTTCGGAGGACTTAAATACACTTTTACTGAAATAAATGAACTTCCTGCCCCAGGTGTCAAAGTAAAACTCTCCATCTGCCCTGTGGTCTAAATCCTAAACCGGGTTTAAATGCGCGCTCACCCTGCAGTTTCTTCAGCACCGCCACCTCCATCTTCAGCACCTGTTTGGGCTGCTGGGCCGACTCCACCTTCAGCGCCACGTTTTCCCGCGTCAGCAGGTCCAAGGCCTCGTAGATCTCCCCGAACCCGCCTCCCCCGATCTTCTTCAGCTGCGAGGGACAGACTCTGGGTCAGTTCGGGTCTGATGAGCTCAGCGTGACATCGTTCAAACTGGGATCACGTTTCCTGAATGATTTCCATTTTTGAGCGCCTCTTTAATTCACCGCTCGATGTTTTAACATCCGAAACATTTCTTCTCTGCTTTAATCCTTTAATCTTGCCTCATTTCTTTCTTTTAGCTCTTTTTTTCTCCAGTCTTGTTCCTTGTTCTTATAATTCACCTCTGTCTTTCCTTCCCTTCTTCTCCTATTGTTTCCTCTCTTGTTCCCTTATTTCATCTCGTTCCTTCGCTCTGTGTCCTCCTTTCCTTCTTTTACCCCCTTCCTCCTTGATTTTTCACTTCTGTTTGTCCCATATACACGTATGTGTGTGTGTATATATATATATATATATATATATATATATATATATATATATATATATATATATATATATATATATATATATATATATATATATATATATATATATATTCGGTTCAGTGGCTCCGCTCTAAATGGATCGTTGAAGTGCACATTCCCTGCAGGCTCCGCGCTGCGATCTGATTGGCTGAGACAGGCGCTGCATTATATAACTTCATATTTCAGAGGGATCACGGTGTTTTTCACTGTGAAACGCATGCATGTATGTGGATTAGCTCTTCAGCTAAAGCTCGCGTGACCTTTGCATGACTAGGTTGGTTTTTCCTCGTGGTCCTTCCAGCCAAAGGTACCAAATAATACGCCAGTGTTTCATCACCTGCGTATAAGTCCACGTATCTACAACAAGTGAGATTTGAGAATCAGCTGGTAAACAATTTTACATCGTCTTAGTGCTGGATTTCATTTCCCTTTCAGAACAATGAACAGGATATGAATTATTCTTATTTTTATCAGTAGAATATGCTGAGTGTCCCTGAATTAGCTGCGGTTTGAAGTAAAGAGGACTTCACAGTAAATGTGCGACTGATGAGTTGAAACTGTGAAATTGTCTTCAGACAAAGAGCAGCAGATTAACACAGATACTTTTGTGCAGTCAGTTTTCTTTTCCTGTGTTTCCGTCATACAGGTTTTTAACATTATTGAATTCCGACTCACCACTTTCCATCGGTCTTTGACCATGCAGTTTGGCGGCAGGATGTCGGCCTGCTCGGACGTCCCGTTCATGTTGGCGTTGTCCTGGAGGCCGGGGACTAGGCACTGCATCTGCCAGCCAGACAGAACACGAGCAGCTCCCAGCTTAAAAGAGCCATTTATCTGTGACAGGAGGGGGGGGGCAACAGTCAGTAAATTAAACACATCATCTGGCACTGGGAGGCTCCCAGTGTGACAAAAAACCGCCCTGTGCTGGGACAGTCACAGCAGTCCAGTATAAACAACAAGCATTAGAGATGGCTGGCCGCCATTAGAAGCCATTCTTCAGCTGGATCAGGCTACAGGCCGGTGAGGGAGGGGGGGGGGGGGAAAAGGTTAAAAAAAATTCTACTCATCTTTGTGTTTGAGCACATAAAGCCACTAATAAATTAAACTACAGAAAAAAATTCATCCAAATCATCTATCCAGAAAAACGCATAAAAAAAAACACAACACAAAAAACGAAGAACGCAGCTTACATTATACGCAGAGTTTTAGATAAGTAAAATTAATAAGAAATAATTTTTGAGACTTAAATATGTTGATTCTGTTTATTCTACTTGGATAGCTTTTTTTTAACATCATATTTTCCCGAAGTTCGGAGAGTTTCTCGTAAAAAAAGAAAAAGAAAACACACTAAGAAAGGAGTCCTCATAACACAAAATAAAATAAAAATAAGACCTTTTTATATTTTTTTTTTTCTTTCTCTTTTTTCTGCCCTTCTTTTCTTTCTTTCAACCAAAACATAGGCACTCAGAAGAAAATAAATAAAAATAGTAGAATTAAAGGACCTATCAGGACAGTATAATGCAAGAAAACAATGGGTAGTTAATGTCTGTGTGACATCAGGTAATACCTATCTGCTTATAATAAAAGAATAAATATAAAATAAACTTAAAA